AGAGGTTTCCAAGACTTGCTGAGACAAAACCCCCCCTCTCTGTTCATATTTCCTGGATGCAGTTCAATCTCAATTGCCTCCCTAATAATGCGATCCATATAGCGGGTCTTGGTGGCGAGGATGGAGGTATTCTGAAGCTGAATTCGGTGTCCCAGATCGACGCTGTGTTCAGCTACAGCCAACTTGTCCGGTTGTTCGAGACGGATGTGCCGCTGATGCTCCTTCAACCTCATGTCCACGGAGCGGCCTGTCTGCCCAATATAGACCTCCCCGCACTCGCATGGGATACTGTATACACCCGGTGTCCTTAGGCCCAGGCTGTCTTTAACCGGCCGGAGGAAATTGGATAATTTGTATGGAGGCAGACCCACTGCTTTGATGTTGTGTCGGGACAGCACTCTGCTGATACGGTTGAATATTGTCCCGACATAGGGAAGGAAGGCAACTGAGCCCGGTTTGTCTTCAGGCCAGCTGATGTTGGGCCGACGGTTGAGAACTCTGTAGATCTGCCGGTTGTTGTATCCGTTCTTCTTGAATACATCCTTCAGGAGCACTCCGAAACATCGGTTAACACCACATATACACGGTGCCAAATCCCAGAAGACTGCTCTCTTTATACATCATTATTTGCATTCCTCAGATTGAAAATATGCAGACGTGGTATACAACATGAAGAACTTGACTGCTGTAGTGCAGCTATAATATTTGTTCAAATTATACTTGATTTGGAATGTTGATAATATGTATGTAAATAAAAGTGAGGCAGATAGGATGAAGTGAAGGCATATTTCACAACATACTGAATGATACATTGTTATTCATGTCTCATTCAGTTCAGTACAGTAGTTTTGCTAATGTATGTACAGTGTGAACTTCTACTCATACTACTCAGAATGAGTCTGCAGATGTAATTCATTAGTCACTGAAGGTTATCAAAGAGAACTAAGACATATACATATTGTTATTTGTCTTGCATCTGCTGCTGATTTTTGCTCTTAATCACTATTCAAAATCAAATCATCCCCAGCACTGGCAATAACTGCTTTGATATTTTCATCCTGTCATGTATGTCCCAGGATTGTGGCTCTTTGGTGTCATGGTGAACACAGTTTGCCCCTTTTTCTACAGTTATGTGTGCTGTTGATTCTAGTAAGAGCTCTTAATGTCATTCAAACTGAAGACTATTTTGCTTCATCATATACCCCTTGACCTTGGCCCATATGAGCTGTGTAGGGTTCAACTCACAGTGATACAGCAGAAGACAGAGTACTTAGTTATTCTATGCTTTCACCATTTAATCAACCATATTCCTGTCATAAAAACTTCTGTATTTAGATACTAAGCTGACCATCTCCACCCTCAACATTTGTTCCCTCTTCAAAGGGATAGCTTTTCATTTTAGGCAATCTGAAACACCTGTTTTGTTCCAAGATGTAGGCAACTTTTCTATCTTCATTGTGTGATACGATTGTGAGCATAGTTGTCATCATGGAAGTTTAGAATAGTCATTTACAATGATCACAAATGTTATCAATTGCAGATTACCTACAATTGCAGAATTGAAACCCATGCAGAAATACATGAAAGCAGACATTAGGAGATTTCACCTAATACCTGCTTTCGAGTACTTGTCAGCATCTTATATTGTGGTTTTCCTTTTTTACTTTTGTTGTGCCAGTTGAACCTGACCAGTGGATTTTTGCCCCCTAAAGTCTCTAAACATTTTATTCATAATCTTTCCCATTAAATAGATCATTTGTAATGTTTCTACGAGTATGTAAGAGTTATCCTTCAATAAAAAGTCTTGTACACATTTATATACGTAATTGTTATTTTTGCATCTGCATGGAAACCTTTCCTTGGGCGTGTTGAATGAATAACATATTTCAGAAGTAGTAACTACTGTCTCCACAAACATTCAAAACAGACAAATAACTAAACACACTGACCACTTTGTCAGTGAAGAGAGGCATATGTACCATGCGAATGGTACTTCCCTCACCTCTATGCCGCTACGAAATGTTCACTCTTGCCTCTCACTGCTGGTTATATTCATGAAAAATGCACATGTAGAGACCAATATATAGGTGGAAGGATATTAATAAATGACTCCAAATATCATGGTTAATATGTGGATTGGATTCAGAGAGCAGTGAGTATGGTAACTGTCTTTGGGTTCCATTACGTTACACAATTGCTCGAACATTTGAATAAATTTTAGCTAGTCATTGAAGATTCATACTCTGGTCTTGTAATATTTGGCACCATGTTATCTGATAATTTTTTACCAACATTTAAGAAGACTGTGCTGCCTCCGTCTTCAGGGCAGAGTGATATGGTCTAGAGTTTGAAGTGTACTGGTAAGATCTGAAGTTCTTGGGTTCTGATAGTATGTCCCTGAAGAACGTTGGTAACCACCTACTAGATTACATGGTGCCATAACCCAGATGACCATAATTAAATGTCCACTACCATGAAACCACACATCTCATGAAATAATGAAAAACTTGCGGTGGTAAAAATTGTGTATTACCTGATACCCAAAGCCTGCAGAAGCATGTGCTGTGGTACCAACATATGTGTGTGGGATTGTCGATGCTCTACATGTAAAAGACAACAACATAAAACTGTAACAATTGTATAAATTGAATGTACAGAATAGCTGCAAAGCTATGTGGAATGTTCAAAAGTTGGCTGGCCCTAAAAAGGGCAATTTGTTCCACCGTGAGTGCGCTGGTAGAATTTGCTCCTTTGTAGTAGACCAAGTGTTTACGTCCATTCAGCTGGTCTGTCTGGCCGGTGATGTGGTGCTGCATGCGCCGGTAGGAACAGCTGCCTACGGCGCAGTTGCTGGAGAGTTGCAGCAACTACGTTAGCTGCCTGGTCGCAGAGTGAGGTTGCTGGAGAGTTGCGGCAACTACGTTAGCTGCCTGGTCACAGAACATGGTTGCTGGAGAGTTGCAACAGCTGATTGGCTAGTGCATGTGATGATCTACAGGTGGGCTGGACATCTAGTGCTGTATAAATGCAAGTGGTGGTAGCAACGTGCGGCAATGTGATATTGACTAGGAGTGAGTGCTGTCTGTTAGACTGGCGAAACCGCGTGTTAGTATGTGGGATGTTCCCACATGATACTTAATGGTGACAAAGGCTAACAGTGGTTATACCCAGTTGGGTATCTGTATAATAGTATGTTATTAAGTTTATTACAATAAGATGGTAATTATACTGTTTTCTAGGAAGAGAAATGTAAAGGGCCTTAAGGAACCGACTCTCTTCAATAAGACAATCCAGCTCTCCAGCAATTTCAAGTACCTTGGTCTAGAATTAGACAATGGACTGACATGGAAAAAGTAGCTGGACAAGGTCATTAACAAAGCCTATAAGGTTTTTTAGACATGCAGAAGCATGTTTGGTAAAACTTGGGGACTGCCGCCACACGTTGTGCATTGGATATATACTGCGGTTGTAAGACCCTTAGTTACATATGGCGCCACAGTATGGTGGCCCAGAATTAAACTCAAGACGAGCAAGGCAGAACTTAGCAAATTGCAAAGGTTGGCCTGCTTAGGTATCACAGGAGCAATTTGAACATCTCCAACAGCTGCAATGGCGATACTCCTTGGACTCCCCCCACTGCCTGTACAGTTGGATGCAGAGGCCAGGGCAGGAATTTACCATCTCCAGTGCAGTGGACAATGGAAACCTAGATCTGATGTGTTTGGCCATGTGTACATAACTCAGGACGTGAAAAAAGAACCCATATTACAAATGAGGTCTGACAAAATGATGCTGAGACATGTATATGAAAAACCCTTCACAGTCAGATTTCCTGACAGGACTGAATGGGAAGATGGGTTTCGGCCCAATAGAAAAGGGGGACTGATCTGGTATACAAATGGTTCCAATATAAATAAGGACGCTGGTGCTGGTGTGTACTGCTATGGCACGAGGCAGAAACTTAGTTTCAGCCTTGGGCAGTACACAACAGTATTCCAGGCAGAAGTATATGCCATTATGGCATGTATTATGGAGAATTTAGATAGAAACTATAGAAATATGAACATCTACATTCTATCTGACAGCCAAGCTGCACTTAAAGCACTTGACAAACACTAGATCACCTTGAAATTGGTCTGAGATTGCCATCAAACACTCATGGAACTGGTCAAACATAACAGGGTACAACTGATATGGGTGCTGGGGCATGAGGGTATTGCTGGCAATGAAACAGCACACCAATTAACTAAGATTAGAGCTGAACATCCATTCATAGGACCTGAACCAGCCTGTGGTATCTCTATAGGAGTTGCCAGACTGGACAAACATGAAACACAAGAAATACTGGGAATCCTTAACTGGACTCAGGCAAGCAAAGGGATTTATATAAGGACCTTCTACTAAAAGAGCAAAGGAACTGTTGAAGTTAAACAGGAACCTGCTACGATGGGTGGTAGGACTACTTATAGGACACTGTCACCTCAAAGGACACCTGTTCAAACTCGACTAAGTGATAG